AAAAAAAAAAAAGGAGGGCCCATTGGGCTGGCGCAGGACTTCCCAGGGTCACGACAGTGGCCTCCAACCTAGACCCAAGGGCAGTGGGAACTCACACAGCCTCGGCCCGTTTTGCTCTTGACTCCAAGACTGAAGTCACAGGACTTCACAGAGACACCGCCAAGCCTCGGTTACTCAGGGGATGGTCAGTGCAGAGATTGTCAAACGGCAGCCCTCAGGGGGCAGTCAGAGACATGGCACCTTTTTATTTAACTGCCATGTTAAATGTAGGGTTTTGTTGCCAAAATAATGCACAGATCCGCTCTGGTCTTTAGAATTAAAATATCTGGATGAGGCTAGTCCTCCTTGACCACTACTCCAATCCCATCCTCTGGGGTAGCCCCAGTAAGAAACAACTCTTACGAGACACACATGTGTTTGCACGCATGCAAGTGTGGGCACATACACGCACACAGAAACTTCACGGTATTTTTGTGTGTGTGTGCATCTTCACATAAATCATATGCTATCTACCTATGGCTTGTCTTTTTCACTCAAAAAACTTGTCTTGCAGGGCTGGGCGCAGGGGCTCACACCCGTAATCCTAGCACTTTGGGAAGCTGAGATGGATGGATCACTTGAGGTCAGAAATTCAGACCAGCCCGGTCAACATGGTAAAACTCCCCTCTACTAAAAATACAAAAAGTTAGCCGGGTGTGGTGGCGGTGCCTGTAATCCCAGCCACTCAAGAGGCTGAGGCAGGGGAATCGCTTGAACCTGGGAGATGGAGGTTGCAGTGAGCCGAGATTGCGCCATTGCACCCCAGCCTGGGCAACAAGAGTAAAACTCCGTCTCAAAACAAACAAACAAACAAGAAAACCTGTCTTGGGGGTTCGTCCACGTTGAGAGCCACTTGCACCTTCCACACAGACTTTCTGAATCAAAGCCAAGTACAATGAAACTGAGCTGCAATGAACATGCCCTCCACCCACCATCCTGGCCTCTGCCCTTCCTCCCTGGAGCTGGATCAACATTCCTTCATCAAACACTTCTTGGCCTCAAGGAGGGGTCAGATTGAGTCCTAGTCAGGCTGAGACTCGTAGCCCATGAGACTTGTGGCCCAGGGGCGTCCTCCAGCACCTGTGAAAATCCTCCAGCCTCTTGTGAGCTCAGGGAGACCGCAGCCGCCCCCCACGAGTTGCCCCTGGAGAGACCATTACTAACGTCTGGGCCCAGTCCCTTTCCTGCAGCAGCAGCACAGAACGGGGAAACGGTCGCATGGTTAGAGCTGGCCAGCTTAGGTTTGGGTGCTTCAGCCCAACTGTCTACTTACATGCTGTGTTCTCAGACACTTTATGTAACCTCTTTACATCTCAGTGTCCTCATCTGGAAAACGTACAGAATTCAGTGTCTCCTTAGACAAGGAGCTAGAAGGAATAGCTGCTCTGCTGGTGATGGCTGGGGTGACGTGACGGCAGGGAGGCTCGAGTTACTCAGTCTGGGGATCGCCAGGTTGGGCACCGTTTTCGGAGCATCAGTGGCTCCGACTCGGCCTTCTCCCTCTTTCTGCTTCTGGGATCCCCTTGCCTCCCCCCTTTTCTCTCCTTCTCCCAGTCTCGGAGTATGTCACACCACTGGGCTTCGGAGGACACGTGACAGGAAGTGAAATAAGCATCTGGATTCACCTGTTTAGAAAACAGCTGAAGCTGAGAGAAGAAAAGATGGAGAAGATTCTCTTCCCGAATTTAGATTTTTAAAAATCAGTGGTAGATTTTGGTTTTTGGTACAGGGGAGATGATATCAGAATGGTGAGGAGAGCTGACTTTGGAGGCCGAGCTGCACAAGGTCAAATGCAAGCTTGCACAGGCGACTGTGATTGGCACACGTAGTAGGTGCTTGATAAAGAGACGCTATTAACATTCTCCTCTAGTGATCCCTGTTCTTTCCTAACATGCTTACATGCAAGTTGACCAAACAATTTCTTAAACCCCCTTTCAAATGCCTTAATTTGCAAAAAAGAAAAGAAGCAAAATGACCTTTAAACCACAAGCTTTCATGTTTCAAAATGAAAAGAACCAAGATTTAATTTCACCAAAAATGATGTTTTCCCAGCCTGGTTACATAGCAAAACCCCATCTTCATTTAAAAAAAAAAAAAAAAAAGTTTTTAAATTAACTGGGCGTGATGGCACATCTGTAGTCCCAGCTACTTGGGAGGCTGAGTAGCCCAGCTACTCGGACTCAAGATCCCTTAAGCCCAGGCAGTTGAAGCTACAGTGAACCATGATCACACCACTGCACTCCAGCCTGGGTGGCAGAGAGAGACCAGGTCTCAAAAAAAAAAAAAAAAAAAAAAATTCTGCCATTTCAGAGTTAAACAAAACTCACTAACATTTGCCTTGGTCTATGGGGCATCCACAATGGACGGGAGCAGCAGCCTCACTGTCCTCGGCCCTCAGAGTCTCCCCTGACTCACTAGGAAGACCAGCAACAGCTCACTGTGGGACCACCCTGGGCACACATTCAACCCTCTGCACAGACTGTGACCGAAAGACCCTTGTCCCCATTTAATGGGTGGAGAACTGGGTGCTGACTCGATGTTCAGGACTCCAGCTCTCAGCCTCTATTTTAGGATTCCTTCCTCCACCTGGTTCCACCTCTGCCTCCCCCAAAGAGCCTGTATTCTATTGCGTTGCATTGGGACCACTTCTGTATGATGGAAAACAGAGGTAGGCAGCTAGGGTGGAGTGAACAGACCACAGGACTTCGCATCCAGAGGCCTGGCTGGTGGTCTGCAGGCCGCCCTTTGGACACAGGTAAATCATCATCTTAGTCTCCATGTCTTAATTTATAAAATGGGCGAAACCGTACCCCACTGAGCCGAATAACATCATGCATGTATGTTAGAAACCACTCCACACATGTAACATCATGCATGGAAATTGAAATCACTCCACACATGTAGCATCATGCATGTATGTTAGAAACCACTCCACACATGTAACATTATGCATGTATGTTAGAAACCACTCCACACATGTAACATCATGCATGTAGTTAGAAACCACTCCACACATGTAACATCATGCACGTATGTTAGAAACCACTCCACACATGTAACATCATGCATGGAAATTGAAATCACTCCACACATGTAACATCATGCATGTATATTAGAAACCACTCCACACATGTAACATCATGCATGTATGTTAGAAACCACTCCACACATGTAACATCATGCATGTATGTTAGAAACCACTCCACACATGTAACATCATGCATGGAAATTGAAATCACTCCACACATGTAGCATCATGCATGTATGTTAGAAACCACTCCACACATGTAACATCATGCACGTATGTTAGAAACCACTCCACACATGTAACATCATGCATGTATGTTAGAAACCACTCCACACATGTAGCATCATGCATGTATGTTAGAAACCACTCCACACATGTAACATCATGCATGTATGTTAGAAACCACTCCACACATGTAACATCATGCATGTATGTTAGAAACCACTCCACACATGTAACATCATGCATGGAAATTGAAACCACTCCACAAATGTAAGGTCGCCAAGTCCTTGGCAGGGAGTGAAACAGGAAAACTGGATATCATGAAGTTTTTCATCAAACATTTACTGAACCCTCATAAAATCCCAGGTTGGAAACCGCGATGCTTCCAGGCTTCAGAGAAGGGCCTAGGCAGAGTCATTGACAGCAGTGCTGCTCACAGCAGGTCCGGGGCCCGCAGCACCATCGCAGTGCCTGCAGGAAAGAAAAATGCATGGGCCTCGCTCCAGACCTGCTATATTAGATTCTCTAGGGGTGAGGCTCTGGAATCTGCACGCTAACAAGGTCCCCAGGTGATCCTCATCGTTCCCAGGCACCACAGCCTAGCACACTGTGGTTAGTCACAATCACTGCCTTAAACCCAAAGTTATCAAGTAGATTGTTCTAATACAGAGGCAAACTTGACCCAGGGTGAGGGTGAAATGTCAGTAGGTCTATGACCAGGGCAGCTGGGGCTCCCTCATGGTGAGAAGCTGAGCTGGGTTTGGCTTGGAACAGCAGTGGGGAGGAATTAGTGAGGCGCCTGGCGGGGGAGGCATCGACCGGTGGGGTCTCAACTGCACTGGCAGCTGCCTCTGGCCCCCCAGCTGATGACACGTGGCTAAGTGTTGTTGCAAGAATTAAGCGAGATAATATATATAAAGCACGTGGTAAGTATTCAATTAGCTACTGTCATCATCATCATTATTCTCGCCGCGGCCTCCACACCTCCAGCTCGGGCCGTGTCCATGCATATCAGTATGAGTCAACTCTTCTACTCTTCATGTGTGCCCATGTTGAGAAAGAGGTCAGGAAAGGGCATTTGCATGTTTTAAAACAGGCCCTTTGATCATTCGCAGAAACGCCTATAGTCAATAGGGAACCTCAGAGGGAAATTGGGGTCCTGTTTTGTGCCCTCCAGGCCTCCGCTAACATTGACCCCTTCATCAAAGGGATCGTGGTAAACCAACTGCAAACCAAACGAAACTGGTTTCTGAGATGAGAAGTGATTCAGAGAGTATAGCAGCTCATTAAAAAAAAAAAAAAAGGCATTTGCTAATGAGTGCAGCAAATGCCTGTAAATGAGAGAGACCTGCTCCATTATGACAGTCTCAGAGTTGTGCAAACCTAATTTTGCAGCAGCAAGGAGACAATAAAAACGTCTAGTGCTGGTCATCCCCCGCTCAGAGACAGGATAATCCTGGGAAACATTTTACGGTGTATCGCTTGAAGAAAAGTGCATTAGTCTTTCCTGAAAAAACACTTGGTTGACCTTGAAAATAAAAGCATTCATGAGAAGTATGAGCAGAAGTTTTCATTATTCCTTAAGCCCTTGATTCAGAGAGACAAAAACTTCCACCCTCCACTGCAGCCCCACAATGCCAAGTTGCCAAGCAACGGCTCTTTCATGGTGAATCGCCACGGAGACTGATGTAAACAAAATCATAAATCCCATTACCCTGCTAAATACTAGGTCTGGGTTAGAAAGGGAGCAAAAGAGCTGCTTTTCAGGTTAAAAGAGATCATATGAAACGGTGAGTGGCAAGATCTTAGTCAGAGTAAATTGTCATGGGTGAGACTGTAATTAATGTCGTGCTTTTATTCTTTCAATGGCTAACAGCCCCCAGTTTTCTTGTATCAAGGAAAGCAGTCATCGTTGGAAGAGTCGTTTCCAGCTAAAAACTTACCTCCAGTACCCCACAGGCCCAGGCCAGCCACAGAAGGACCGGTTCATTGTGGTTCTTCTCTGCACTTCCCAGCTGGACTCTGGCCAGGGCCCACCTAGAGCCAGCGGATGGTTATTCAGGAAACAGCTCCAAGAAGGAGACCCTCGGGAACAACATTTTGTCCTTTATTCCCCCTTCCAGACAAAGGGAAAGGAAAAGGAAATTCATGGAGCCCGTCTCTACAGCAGATGATCCATTTGTGGTACTGCATTTCATTCTCGCAACAGTTCCAGGAGCTCCAGGCTCCCGTTCCCATCAGACGGACAGGAAGCTGCAGGCCTGAGGATGAAGATATCTTATCTAAGGTCACACAGTCAACTAGCTGAAAAAGGGAGATTCCACCTTCAAAGCGGAATTACAGCCTCCACGTGGGTCCACCGAGTTGGACCTCAGGCCTTCTGTGGGTAGGAACCTCTGGCTCAGAGTGAGCAACAAATCCCACACTGGGACATTGACCCCTGCAGAGGGAACAGCTCACATTGTGGCTCCCACAATAATGACCCAGGGCTCTTCGATGGTGCGCCAGGAGTGTTTAACAACCGGCTCTCTGGAGTGAGGGCATGTGTTCTGCTTTCTGTGATGCAAATATTTCTCCCTGGCCAATTTTGAGCTATCAGCAAGAGAGCATTGGCCCTCCTGAGCTGCACAAGCCAGCTCCAACACACCAGCTCCAACACACGCCAGCCAGCACTCTTAGTACATCCCTGGCCAGCCCCAGACCCGTCAAACCTGAATTCCTAGGGGCGGGGCCCAAATCTTGGTATTTTTCTTAAAGAGGAGAGCCAAGGGTTGAGAACCGCTGGGCTCAAAGCTTCATGTTCAGGGGCCTGTTGGCCTTTTGGGTTTTGTCCTGGTGAGAAAATACTAGGCTCCGGAATTAAGTGCTGGCCATCAGATCTGCGTTGGAAAGATGCTTCTGTTCTTTCCTGAGTATGGCCAGCCACCAAATCTCAAGCCCCGGCCACCGCAGCCACACGCCAGCCATTTATTCCAGGTGTTCTACACACGGTCAGTCACCTCTGCCCCAGACCTAGGGCCCCAGCGATTCTAGCACAGGGTCACAAACCCAAACATCCACAGGGAAGGCAGTAAAGGGATGCTCCCAAGCCAGTTTCCACAGGACAACTGCAGTGTGATGGGAACTCTGGAGGCCGTGCAGAATGCCCCTCGGAGTCACCCCAGCCGCGAGGCAAGACATTAGGTTCTCATCCAACACCTTGTCTGCCGTTGGTGAGAGATGCCTCTGGGATATTAACTTTATGGCACTTTTGGCTGACCCCGAGCTCAGGACAAGCACCTTCCGAGATGAGAAAAAGTTCTCACATATCTTAAAGAACGAAAAATAGAACTACCATTCAACCCAGCAATCCCCTACAGGTATTGGAAACCAAAGGAAAAGAGATCATTATATTAAAAAGACACCTGCACTCAGATGTTATCGCAGCACTATTCCCAATAGCAAAGTCACGTGTCCACCAGTGGCAGATTAGATGAAGCAAATGTGGTCCATATACACCGTGGGATACGATGCAGCCATAAAAAAGAATGACATCGTGTCCTTTTCAGCAACACGGATGGAACCGGAAGCCATTATCCTAAGGGAAATAACTCAGAAGCAGAAGATCAACCACTGCCTGTTCTCACTGAGAAGTGGGGGTTGACCAGTGGGTGCACTTGGACAGAAAGGTGGAAATAATAGACACTGGGGACCCCCGAAGAGGGGAGGGTGGGGAGGGGAAAGGATTGGAAAACTACTACTGGGTACCATCTTCACTATTCGAGTGGTGGGTACACTAGAAGCCCAATTCCCACCAGGACAAAATACACCCATGAAACAAGCACAGGTGCACCCTGAATCTAAAACATTTTTAGAAAGCAAAGGCTCTCAGGGGTGTTTGCAGTAAGCAGCCTCTGGGGCACATGTGAATGTCGAGAAGGTGTGGGCAGGGCGCAGGCAGCACCTGCTACGCGCAGGAACCGAAACACGAGTGCCAGGATGCTCGGTAAGCAGCTCACTGCGGGGCACACTGAGCAAGAAGACTGCACAGCGAGTCACAGGCAGGCGCGACGGGGAACTGGGAGCCAGCACACAGCTGAAGAGAGAAGAGCGGGGGGCGGGGGCATGACACAAGGACGGACACCAGGCGATGTGGCGACGGACGCCAGGAGCTCCACAGCTGATTTCTGCCCTTGCCCTTCTCTAGCCTCCTAGGTGGGCTTCTAAGTGGGCGCAGGACTCAGCATCTGAGAGAAGAGTCCTACAAAATGCAAGATGGAGGCAACACTGTCAAAGGTGTCTTCAGGGTCTCTCCTGATGCTTTTCTCCCTTTGGAAACTCCGGCCCCTGTGTGCAGTCGGCTCCAGCTGAGGCAGGGGCCAGGATGATCCAAGGGAACCACAAATCGTGTAGGAAGCAACAGGCAACCTCGCAGAAGGTAAGTGCCTGTGTTAGTCCAGGTCTGAGGATCATATGCCAAGACGGGATGAAACATGCAAGGGTTGTATCAGGGGAAATGCCCGGATGGAAACTAGGTGGGGAACTGGAGGAAGCTGGAGGAGTCAGCAATGCAGGGCTGACCCAGAGAGAAGGAGAGCAGGAAGGAGGGTGGGGTGGAATCGTCCTAGACTGTCATGCATCGGAGGGAGGGGTTACAAGGCCCTGGGGACTCCTGGAGCCAAAGGCAGCTCTCAGAGCAGCCCGTATCTGCCAGGTGGTAACTGGGGGCAGCCTGCAGGAAGCGTGACCTTGGCACACACACTGCCATCCGTTGATCCATTTCAGAGCCCAGCAGAGGACATCGTTTGTCAGTTACACTCACCCCTTTCCCCACTAGAGAATGCTCAGAAATACTGGAAGGGCACTGGATTTCCCACAAGTTGTGGAGGGTAAGGGCTCAAGTTATTTTAATTCAGAGTTAAAGAAGAAAGGATAATGCAATGTATGAAGGATTATTATCTCCAGGCTGTAAGGCAGCTAATGATCTTTCCTTAACCCTTCTTCTATTTACGAATCCCTTCGTAGTAAGCACTCATTGCCTTTGTAACTGGTGGTAGGAGGTATGCTAACTACCGTACATGCCCACTCGATTCCATCTACCAGTACATGTCCTCCAGCTCCCAGTCCCCCTCCCGCTGCTGAGAGCTCACAGGCTGCTCTCTGCGCCCTGAATGGGAGCCCCTTTGCCTTGGTGTTTCTCCTGGCCCCTACCTCCCCAAGGCTGACTGACCCGGGAGGAGGAAAGGGGGCCCCTGCCTTAAGGTGGGACCAGCGCTGCGTGCAATCCAACTTAAGTGGCCACACCCTTGCTTGCTCCTTTCCCCTGCCCAATCTTGCAATAAATCCCTTGCACCACAATCCTTGGCTTGGGCTCTGCTTCTAGGAAACCCATCCAAGGCTGGGGTATTTTTTTCAAAATCTCGTATAGACTCCATTGGGGGATTATTCTCAGGTCTGTAGCCCTTGGTCTGCTGTACAATTTATTTGTGCTGTGAAGCAACTGCTTTAATGTTCAACTTCCCTATGCTTCTTTTTTTGTTTGTTTGTTTTGTTTTGTTTTGTTTTGTTTTGTTTTGTTTGAGATGGAGTTTCGCTCTTTTTGCCCAGGCTGGAGTGCAATGGCGCAATCTCAGCTCACCGCAACCTCCGCCTCCCGGGTTCAAGCGATTCTCCTGCCTCAGCCTCTCAAATAGCTGGGATTACAGGCATGCGCCACCATGCCTGGCTAATTTTTGTATTTTTGGTAGAGATGGGGTTTCTCCATGTTGGTCAGGCTGGTCTTAAACTCCCGACCTCAGGAGATCCACCCGCCTCGGCCTCCCAAAGTGCTGGGATGACAGGCATGAGCCACCGCACCCGGCCTCCCTATGCTTCTTGAAATAAAAGATGACTTTATTTCAGGAGTGGCAAATTCAAATTCTCCTGAGGCAAGGCAGTTGATACCAGTATATAAGGCCAGCCTGGTGGGGACCGAGGTGAGAGGGAAGCAACGGCCTCGTCTGAAAGGGGCGTCGTTGGCCAGTGACACACAGGAGTGTGGACTGCAATCACTAGGTCTCCTGGACATCTAGGACATTCCAAAGTTTCAGGTATTTATGTGAAATTCCTGATGTTTAAACATTGGCTCAGATTTTTCAAAAAGCCCTGCATGGGCCAAATAAAACACATCCGTGACTGAATTTGGCCCACGGGCTGTCATTTCAAGTCATTTGTTTTCTGGAACAAGTTGGGAAAAAGAAAAACATCCCCGTCACCACTGACTCCCACATGCACACTGGTGAAGGGGACGTTCCTTTTGCACTGTCCCCTTTTCTTACCCCAAACCTGATTCTAAACCCCTGACAAGGAGCCAACACGACCCTGATCCACACGAGGGGAATTCAAAACCCAGACTCCATCTACACTTTCCAGGTGGACTTTGGGAGATCTGTTGTCCTCCAGCAAATGTGCTATTTTTTAAACACACTGCTTGTCTCCCCACCTACAATGAAATGGTTCTAGGCTGTTCTTGTGGCCTTGGAGGACTGGCTCTGCACCCAGCTGGCAGTAGTAGCCTCTGCCTCCCACAGTGCTTGGAGACTGAAGTGGGTGGTGCACAGGAAGGGCTGAACCCAGGGCCCAGCCTGCGGTGAGTGCCAAGAGGACGCCAGCCTTGGTGCTGCTGGCAGCGGTGGGCAGGGCTGGACTCAAGCCCCGGCCAGGCTGCGGTTCTCCAGCTGAACCAAATAGGTTCACAGCAGCGGGAGGGTAAGGGTGTGAACCAGGATACTCCTGCCCTGAGCAATCCTGTTCGTTTGTTCATTTCGCACATGTTCCTGGAGCACCTTCCTCACTGAGAACGTGATTTTTCACAGAAGACCTGAAAGAAGAAGAGAGTGGACCTCCCTGACCCTTTAGGGAAGGAAGAGCACTCCAGACAGCAGGACAGCAAGTGGAGAGACCAAGGCGAGAGCAAGCGTGGCAGGCTCTGATGGCTCCCCAGCAACAAGGAGGAGACCAGGGAGTGAGGGGAGGTCAGAGAGGTGAGAAGTATCCTGGTTCATGCTCTACCCCCTGCTGCTCTGAACCTGCTTGGTTCAGCTGGAGAACCGCAGCCTGGTGGGGCTTGAGTCCAGCCCTGCCCGACCCGGGTGACAGAGCGGGGGCTCTGTCTCAAAAAAAATAAATAAATAAAAAAGAATAGAAGAAGTCAACATGACTCCATGACTTTTGGCCTGAGCAATTGAAAGGATGGAGTTTCTATTCATTTAGATGGAAAGGGGAAGAAATTACTAGGGAGGGTGAATATCAGTTCAATTTCAGACATTTAGCAGGTGGCGCCCATTATGCATCTCAAGATATTGTACATCCTCAGTTGTCTTATACATCTCAATATAGAGAATAATATATGATTACATATCTTATATGCATAATTATAAAAATATTATATATACAACATATATTATACATGTGTAACATCTCAATTATACACTATGACCGAAATCCTCCAGTTGACCATTGGATATAAGAGATCGGAATTTAAGGGAATCCTTGGCTGGAGACAGATGTATTAATACTTTTCAACTCATCATGGTCAGGATGGGATCTGCAGCCAAGGGACTGAATGGAAAATCCCCCGGAGAGTAAATGCAGAAAGAAAACTAAAGGTCCAGGAACAGAGGCCAAGCCCACTGTCACAGGGTGGCTTCAGACGATCATTCAGATACAGGTGTACAAACCCACAGCCAGAGAGCCAGAAGGACCACTCAAGGAGGCAGCCCCTACACACAAACACACACACACACACGCACACACTCAAGCCATTCACTTACCTCCCAGAAAGCAGAATCTTGAGGAATTTCATCCTGAGGAATATATGTACAATGTTCCTTTTTTCTGTCACTATTTATTTCATGATTTTACCTCAGCCATGAACTTCACAGTCCCGTTCATGACTGTTACATTTCACTCCCTCCCCTCTGGGCCAAGCAGACATTCCTGGGTGGCCACTGTTCAGCCTTAGAAGGTATTCGTCAATTCTATATGATCGTATTTCAGCATTTGAGGTTCGGTAAGAAGAGCTCTGTTGTTGACGCCATTGGGTCAACTGGAGACTCCACAGAGTTGCCACAGAGCTGCAGCGTGAAGCATCGGCTGCTTTCTTGAGTTGTGCTAACAAAATTAAAGATGCGCAGTTAACTGATCTCTAATGGACTGTATCAGTTAGCATCTGCAACAATACTACTGCAAAACAAAACCCCCCACAATCAGCGTCTACAACAGTAAACGTGTATTTCCAGCTCTCACATGTGCAGTTGGCTGGGGTTTGGCTCGTCTGGGTGCGGTTTGTGCTGGGCCTGACGCTAGGCTGCAGGTTTGGTTAGGGTCTGCTTCTCATAGTTCGTTTTCCTCTGGGGTGAACAGGTTACCTGGGACATGTTTTCACGGTGGTGATAGGAGCCAAAGAGGCAGACCCAGTCACACAAGAACATTTCCGATTGTGGCTTGCATCATGTTCACTAACATCACCATTGGCCAAAGCAAATCGCACGGCCAAATCCAACTGCGGAAGCAGGAAGAGATTCTCCACCTCTGGTCAGAAGGGAAAGGATTTAAAGACAGGGAGGGATGAAAAAAATTAGGAACAATTCTGCAATCCAAAATCTAGACTTTTCTTTGCCTCTACTCTGTAAACCCACGCCACATAGCAGCAGGTGTTTCCCAGTCAAACCTACGCATGCATCCATATATTTTGTAAGTCAGTCATAACAAGACAGAGTACAGCCTGGAACTCTGTTCTTTGGAGGCAGAGCTTTTGCCATGAACCTGACTTGCTAAAGCAATGAAAACGTTTGTGGGATTGAATGGAGAATAATGTTTCCAGATGGGCAAGCGAGGTCAGCGAGGCAGATGACTTTCAAAGGGAAGGGTTGGATTTCCACAGCGTGCTGTAGAGTGGGCTGGGACACGTGAAATAGGAAAACCATGCAAGGGATTCTTTTCTTGTTATTAATACAATTTTTCTCACCCAGGTTTCACAAATAGAGGCAGTAATGAAATTGGCTCCGGACAATTCACACCCAAGTGTTTTGCTGATTTGACCCTCTAACCACAGGATTAACAAGACCCATTTACCCTGGCTAGTTCTGCAAATTCTTCCGGTTTCATAATTCAATCAAAGATAATAGTAAATGGAATGAGAGGCTGCTCACAGGAAAGCCAAGTGCAGGAGAAACAAAAATCAGGGGAACCAAAGACTTAAATGTTATGTATGTCTTGAATCGGTTTGGCAGGGAACCAACTAGAAAAAAATCTCATTCCCTGTTAGCTGCCTATTTCCAAATCACAAAAGCCTTGTGGGGTCTGGCCTAGCTCTGCAGCTTCTTCTCATAAAAGGCCCAGACTAAAGGGAAGCCCACTGCAAAATGCAAGTTCCCAACAGAGCTATACAGGGAAATTATTTGGTGGCTTCCTGAACCCAGGGGTGTCCTGCACCCTTCTGACAAGTCTCCTAGGAACCCTCCAGCCAAGAATTCAGAGGAAAGCATCCTTCACGTCAAGGTCTCTTGTCCAGTGTAACAAGAGCATGTGCGGCCGGGCGCGGTGGCTCACGCCTGTAATCCCAGCACTTTGGGAGGCCGAGACGGGTGGATCACGAGGTCAGGAGATCGAGACCATCCTGGCTAACATGGTGAAACCCCGTCTCTACTAAAAATACAAAAAACTAGCCGGGCGAGGTGGCGGCGCCTGTAGTCCCAGCTACTCGGGAGGCTGAGGCAGGAGAATGGCGGGAACCTGGGAGGCGGAGCTTGCAGTGAGCTGAGATCCGGCCACTGCACTCCAGCCTGGGTGACAGAGCAAGACTCCGCTTCCAAAAAATAAAAAAATAAATAAAATAAAAAATAAATAAACAAGAGCATGTGCTTTGGCAAAATCTTGTTCAAATGCTATAATTGCTACTAACTAACTGTAGGACCTTGGGCGCATCACTTAACTTCTCTGAGCCCCAGTTTTCTCATCTATACGATGTAGAAAACAATGACACTTGCCTGACCCTTCCTAAGGGCTCAGGAAGTGGAAGTTATTACTACTAGGAGGTGCTAAGGAAGCTTTGTGTAAGGTACAGGTTCTACTGTCCAACAATTCCTCTAATTCCAATCCCCCCTGCTTAGTGGAACTAAAATATCTAAAATAACAAAATATCTATCATCTTCATAAGTGCCAAAGACATGCTAGTGATCCATCCAACCTCCCCGGAAACCTAACAAAATCCATCCAAAAGCAGCCCCGGCTGGGCATGGTGGCTCACGCCTGTAATCTCAGCGTTTGGGGAGGCCAAGGCAGGAGGATCACTTGAACCCAGGAGTTAGAGACCAGCCTGGGCAACATAGCAAGACCCCATCTTTTAAAAGAAAAAAAAGCAAGCTGGAGACTGGCAGAAGCAGCCCACCTACAACCAGGTAGGCCAGGAGCCCCAGCGTCAAGCCAGACACCAGTGGACCTGATCAAGAGGGCTCCTGCCGTGGAGCTCCCACACACTTCGAAGACCCCCTACAGCCCTTCTCTGGCCACTGCGATCCCCCACCATGAAGAAGAAATCTGCTAGTTTAGGATGGGCCCACCAGGAGCCCAGATCCTCTTTTGGAGGCCACGCTCTAGGGACCTGGGGCCCCGGGTTTCCCTGCCCAGAGAGCCCCAAGCCTGCTTCCAGGACTTGTGGGGCCTCTTTCCCTGGTCCTCCCTCCCACGGTGGCCTATGCTTCTAGGGCATACACTTTCAAGTCCGAGAAGTGGCCAACAGTAGATGTTTGCAAGGTATACAGAAGGAGCTCAGAGGTGCAGGCTGCGGTGTGCACACGCGTACATTTGAAGCCCTTCACAGTGTGGAGCAGAGCTGGGGTATAAAGCCAGACAGGGTTTGCCTTGAGGGCTGAGGGACGGTTCTCCCCACTTAAGGAACTCCCGGGAATCTAGGAAATCCAAATTCAAATCTGGCTTTTCAGGTCATTAAGAAGGATATCTGCCAAGATGACAGGATAAGGTAGTCATTTAACAATTAATTTGTTTTATTTATAAACTAAATATTTAGACATATGGCAGGTGAGCTCCATGTGTACTCTTGCTTTGAGCCTGCAAAAGTTAGGGGCGAGTCTGTCTCCTAGCAAATCCCAGAAACAGCGCATATTGATGAGACCCTGAT